ATATATATATATATATATTGCCAATCTCATCTCTAAGAGTTTGAAATTAATCAAAAGAGAAGAACAAAATTGAAAACAGAAAAGAAAAAAAACGGACAAAATCAAATGAAAATTTAATGAAATAAATTACTTATGTACATATTTTATCTATGCATGTAAACATTCTTTAAAATTAATACTTTTGAGTAACTTTCTCTTTTTATCCTTATAATCACCTGTATGTAATCCAATGCGAAGTTTCAGCTGCTCTTTAGGTCGGTGCTTGATTGTAAAACAGAGGACAGCTTCAAGCAATCTGAGAGACATTCTAGCTATTTCTCTTGCATGCAAATTACCATTTCGAACGGGTAAGCCAGACACAACCATGTAAGCATCTCCAATTGTTTCCACCTGTGGAGTATTAAGAAATATATGTTCGGTTTAATTCATAAAAGAAACCATAAAAACTTTTAAAATTGTCGTATGGATTTTTTACTTTCAATTCATCTTTAGTTGCAATTATTTTAATTAATTAAGGTGCAAGTAAAAATGAAAAAAAAACCTGAAAAAACCTGAACTTTTTGATTTACCAGTCAAATTTTATAACTCACATTTGATCTTAATAACATGAGGGACGCTTTAAAATAAATCATTTCAGAAACAGCCCATTATGGATATTGGAGGGGATAAAGGTTAATTCTTCACAATTTTGTGACCAACTGCATAATTGAGGCAATGTGGTGAGCACGATGCATAGTTCAGCTTTTAATTTGAGACAAGCTGGATAATCCTCAAACCGCCATCGGACATCGAGTCTCATTTCTTATGAATGACGGTTCAGTGCTGACTGAACCGTCACTGAGCCATCATAGTTTAGAGAAATGCTTTAAATGCGTTAATTAAGCCATGTAAAAGATACTTTGGGTTGCGAAATTGAGCAAAAAACGTATTTCTTGGAAATAATCATGCATCTTTTGATGTATTTAAATTATTAACTTCCAACGTATTGAGGATGGGAACAATTCAAAAAACATTGTCTAAATTGTATAATCTACAGACTATACAAAATTTAAAAGAATTATTTGTCTGTAATTAAAAAAGTAATTTAATTACAGATTATTAATTAATAAAAATTTAGTAAAAAGGCTTTTGAATACCCTTTATCGCCAAACAAGTCAAAAATTTTATTTATATGTATACTACTAACCACCTGCGGTAAACAGCTGGCGCATCTATATAAGCTCACTGCCTCACGGTTTCACATTGTATTTCTCTGGCTTGTACTCACCTCACATTGGTTCTACGTCGGCCCATTTTTATGGCTTATTTTAAAAATAAAAAAGATTAACCTATCATATTACAGATACCTCAAGTAAATAATAAACTTCAAAATATACTTTTTGAAAAAAAACTTTGAGTCAATATCCATGCAATTAATATAAGTAAATACTCTTTCTGTCTTATTCTTCAAACTGATTTGCCTCATATCTGATAAATTTATCCTTTAATATGCCCACTCATAGAATATTCCATTGCTTGTTTTTTCGAGTTTTTAATACGCTGATCTACCTGTTTACATTAAATGATCATCAAACAGTTTCTTTTATTCATTCAATTCGATAATTCATTCAATTATTTATTCATTGCTTTATTTGTTTCTTCTGTCATTAATTTGTTGACTGATTTACTCAGTAAAACATTTATATTTCTATTCACTATTTTATTTCCTCTTAAATTGAGTCTCACGTATATTCACATATATAATTTATATTCTTCAATATTATTCATTATATTATAACATTTGAAAAACTCAACTTTAAAGAATATGTACATAACATTAACGAATAGTATTCAATTACACTTCCTAATATTAAATACCGTCCTCAAAAAATAATATTATTTCTGCAAACATAACGATGGGTAGTTATATCAGTTGTAATGTGAATCTTAAAATGGTCATTTGATTACTTGATCACATGTGAATAATAGACTGCTATGCATAACTTATAAACGCATCATTTGAAGTGTCACTCCCAACTGAAAAAAAAATCCCATTAAAATTTTGAAAGAATATGCAAAATAAAAATTTAATTAAATAAAAAATTCAAATTTACAATTTGTTATTTATTTCAACTTTGCTGGGAGAAAAATATTAATTTTACAATTAAAACAATAATTACTCTTGAAAAAATTTACAAGGCAATATAAATTTACTCTATCTTGGATTTCATTTAATAGTTTCAGACATAAACTCCATTTACCACAGATAGTATCTCAGAAAATTTATCATTCTAGTAATAAAACTTTCCTTTGATAAACTTTTATGAGCGATAAAGCAAATTTCCCAACAAATCATATTTGACACACTCTTCCTTTTTGAACGAACCTGTTCCTTCTGGAATTTTAAATATCACACTCCCCGCTACTCGACTTTTTTGAGGAGGCAAGTAAAGTTGGATACATGGGAAGACTAGAGATCGATATGAGTGATGGTGTCTTTTCGAGGAACACCTGAAGCAATTCTTGCCACAGAAATGATTTATTGTTCTTTGGGTGAAAAATAAATTCCGATTACATAATACGACAACATGATGCATTATCATAGGAGAGGAGAATTTAGTTTTAAAAGAATCTACCTCTCCAGAGAAGGCGAAGTGTTTTTTTAAAAAAACATATTGCCTAGTAAACGTTTATCCTTACTTTACATTGTCTGAAATTCTTGTATTAATAAAAAGAATCCTTGTATTTCTTTTCAAACAAAGTTTGAGAAATTACAATGTATTTTTATGCTGAGTTGACGCTTTTGTTAGAATAAATGTATTGAAAGATTACTGTTAGTAAGCTTATATTTAAATGGATATAATATAATGTTCGATAAAACGGTAAGACAAGTCGACTTTTGCGTGATGGTTTTTAAATAACATTAATAGATATCTTGAAGTATTTATCAAGAAATTTTTAATTGATTAAAATGGATGATTGGATTATTGGACTTTTAGATTTAAAGTATGTGTCTAAATAATATTTTTTAATAAACATATTGGATTATTTGGCTCTTATTTTACTCGATTGTTTTTCTTTTTAACTCTTTTCTTATTTTAAGACTTAAAATTGATTATTTCCGAACTCGAAATTCATGGTTTTATTACACTTATAAACCAGTTTTTAGAAAATTTTTCTCCTGGTATTCAAACCTTAACATTTAAGGGAGAAAAACGGTAAAAGATGGATGAATCTGATTAAATAATTTATCTTCTTCGTTATCTGTTGTTTATTCTGTAGATCTTACCATATAGTGATATAATTTTGATAACTATTATAATCGTAATTCTGAAAGAAATGAACCGCATTTTCCCATATTTCCAAAATGTTTTAAAAATTGCGTGATTCTATTTGTTTGTGTGTGGATTTGTAAAAAGGTATTGGGGTTTTCAAAAAATAAAAACTATCAAGCAGTTTTTGATAGATGATAGATATACGTATTTTCTTCAAGCCACTTGTCTCAATCCCGTAGGTGTGTCATTGCTCTACTTTTCTTGAGCAACCTAGGTAGCAAAACAATATCATTCAATTTTAGAAAGATGCAATGTAATACGGTCGAGCTAGAAAACGTTGGCCTCCGGAATCCTATTTCTAATATTAGAGCTAATATTATATAAGATTAATAGTGTTTACTCAAACATTTAAAATTATAATCCATTTCATACATTAAGGACCATGGCTACTTTTTTGAGAAAATGCACTTCATGTTTTTAGTAAATTGAATTTTATTAATGGAAGAAAACAATAAATTAAAATTTTCCATGAAATATCATTTTTCACCAATGCAATGCTATGCCAAAATAACGCAAAAAAATATAAGTGGAAGTAAATTCGGTTCGCGGACGGTAAGAAACTGGATAAACTTTTTCAACTGTTGAGTTGTAACTTCTTCATGATTGTTTGCATCACCTTATTGTTCATGGTCGGCAGATAGAATGAATTTCCTCAACTTTAAAGGTATTTATGTAGTAATTTCTTGGAAAACTTTATAAATTTCAATAATAGTAACATGAAACATAAATTAGTATCGTAATGTTTTTCCTTCAGTTAAGAATCAGCTAGAAAAGTAATATATTGTCCTTAAAAGCACTGTGTTAGCGAGGATGATGTTATAGAATGTTCCAAGGTACTTAATAATCTTGACAGCTTAAGCTGATATCTGACTATCGTATGCGCAAAGTACTAATTTATACTTCTTCATCAAACACGAAAATGAATTCGAAATAAGTAATTGGGGTGGTTAAAGATTCAAGCATTGAGTACAGCGATGTCACAAACATTGGAAAAGAATGCAAAACACCTGTAAGTTTTGCCTCTTGTCGAACAGTATACTAAGCCTTCTTTGCAAAAGATGGATGTTATGACGAAGAAGTGACATTTAAACTAGGAGGACATTTTCTTTTGTTTAGACGTAGTATTCCTGTAATATAGGTTTTTTTACGAAAAACATTCATCTGCATAATTTACTGAGACAGAAGACATTCTTCTGCTCCTGGATTTAAGATGTGGCTCCATAATTAGAGCACTTTACTTTTCCCAGGTTGTAATTCAGTTGCCAATTTTTCAACTTATACAAATGCTATAAAAAATATTTTTGGACTTCATATCAGCTGAAATCAAAGTTATGAATCCTAAACGTCATACAATAAATTTTCATTATTTTTTGCATGACAACAACCGTCCCCACTAATACTTTCTTGTCCACGATTATAACAAATATAACCGCTTATAATCAGCATCTACATGGTTTCTTTTAGAAGCCATTACGAAGTCATAATTCAATAAGAACGAAAGTAGCTTAGTAAACTTAGTTACTTCGGTAATCAAATCTAAGATACTATATAGATAACTTCACGAAAACTATTGCACGTGTCATTTTTTAACATGGTGGTTATCATACATACACGGCGGTTTCCGTTATACTATTCCTCTACCTAATGTTTGCAGTTCTGCAAAATCGAAACTGACCAAAAAACTTCAAAACTAACGTTTTTCTTTTAGGGGTCAAAATTAACCCTTTTGGCTGCTTTACGTAGTTCTATATTTATTTAATTTACTAATAATCAGAAAGGCATGACACCTTATTATAGTATACTCAAAACAATTTAGAAAACGTCACAAAATATGAGCTTCGAAGTTCACTTGTATCTTCCAAAATAACATAAGAAATGGCAAAAACTGGCTCCAACGTTGCTTCGAGTTACATATTTTTAGTTAATAATTGCTAACATAATTGGTAAATACGTTATTATTTAAAATATTTATTGCACCCGAATTTATACAAAAATGTGTCTTAGTAAAATTCAATTTTCAGATAACATCTCATGTTAGATATCTCAAAGTAGCAGTGAGCTTTAAATATTTATAAA